TCAAAGCTACGCTTTACCCATTTCATTTGGCAGCATAAAACAGTTCCACTCTGCCAAGTCGTGATGCAATTTAAATATATTTCAAGAGCACTTGAAATTTCAGGGAGGAAATAATTTCAGATTATGCATTAAAAATAGATGCCACTGCATCCCCAGAATGGAGAAAGAGATGAAATTAGTTTTAAAACCAGAAGAGGTTACAAACTTTTTGAACAACTGACATATTCATCTTAGGTGCAAGTAATAACTTCTCCATGCATTCTATCAACAGCAGGAGATTGGCGGGGACTGACACCTAGGTCTCACTCTGCCTACCGCCAGCCAGTTTACCCTGCAGTTTAGCAAAGGAAGACATGAAGGAAAATGGTGTCACCACAGAAAAAAAACAGTATCGCCCACGCTCACATATGCCTTCTGTCAATTGGTAGTTAAAATGAAAATTTGAAGCACCTTGGGTTAATAGCAATCTCTATGGGGCTAATGACAGTTTCTATGGTGTTAATGTGAGGAAGTCATATTGTTCTGCTCAGTTGTCCCTCAACAGTTTTCCTTCAAGATGTGATGAGTACTCACTGTTAAAACATATTTAAAAAAATTAAGATCTGCACAATCATAATACTTACATTTGATATAGTGCCATTCACGTCAGGAGGTAATCTCAAAGCACATCAGGGGATATATTGCAAGTGTAGTGACTGTCTATTTGCAGGAAAACGTGGCACTCAAGTTGTGCACAGCAGTGTTCCACATACAGCCATAAAGTGAATGAACAATTTTATCTGGGGGATTGTTGACCAGGACACAGGACAAAACTCCCTTCTCTTTTCACTTTGGGATCTTTAGCATCCACTTGAATAGGGGCCTCGATTTAATGTCTTATCCAAGGACAGAATTCCCAACAAAACACACCACAGCTCTATATTGGAGTGTCATCTTAGACTCTTATGAGTTCAAAGTCCCAATGTGGGACTGGAATCCAAATTTTCTGACTCAGAGGTAAGTCAGAGAAGAAGGTGTGCACAATTTGGCCTTAGAACTTTTGTACTAGGATTAGTAAAAGGAAAAATAATCTGGTTAATCTTCTTACTCCAAATTGCTATCACTTCTGGAAGGTTAAGTTGATTTTTTAAAGATCCATTCCTTTCTCTTTGCTAACCTCTCCTGTTCTTTCTAACCTCTTACCAGAGATTACATCAATTTTGATAACTAGATGAAAATGCTAAACATGCACATTATCAGAAAATGGCAACCTGCGGAATGTAACTGATTGTTACAAGAAAAAGTTGCACAGTATCACTACGTTTTAAGAGTTATTCAGCAGATTAACGTGCTAATACTCTATTTAACACAACACTTCTGTTTAAATTATGGCAATTAGTTTGTTATCAGATGCACAACACTGCAGGTGGCATGCACCAATACTGAACTGCTGCTGCCACAATGAGAAAAGTAAAGGCAATGGTGTGAATTTATTCAAAATTTACAGCGTAGTTTGAAATATTTTTAATAAACATTTTTCTTTGATGTAAAGAGCACAGGGAAGGGAATGAGAAATGATACATTGACAATTCTCTAAATGTCTATGCCAATTTTCAGGGAGCTTTATTGCTTTGGACTCTTAGAAACGGTGTCGAACCTTTCAAAACTCATTCAACCCAAAGTTACCCAAAGGAAGGGCTGCTGATTCAATCTATGTGGATTAAATGCTGATGCCTCAAATAATCCAACTGTAAATTTATTGTAGTGAAAGAACCCTTTGTTCTGTAAATTGCTAAATATTGGAAGCATATGGGATGACCAGAGATTCCAATTTTCAGTATTTATAATTTACATTTGCCCACATTAAATTTCTTTTACCAATGATCAGATCAGATTTATAACCTGCCAAATTAACATTGTAATATCTTGGTTGCCTCCTCGGAGTCCTTTACAACTCTCTAGTGTTGTGGTGACAAGATTCATACTGGGGAATGTGTTGAAAGATGCAACGTTCTGGTCAAGTGAGGAGCTGTTTGTTTCCTTATTTCTAAAAGTAACAAGTGTACTCTCCTTCACTTGTGAAGGTTATAATGGGCTAAGAGTGATGTATTTAATAATGCAATATGCAAACAAATAAAATGGCTATCAATAGTCCAATGACCCTTTTTACTCTCTGCTGTATAAATCTCCAGAACTTCTTTTGACCTGGAAAAGCAGGTTTTGCCTGCTTCCATATTCATGAACAAACTGACATATTTGACCACAAGATGGCAGAATTTAGTTATGCAAAAGATGTTATCACAACAGAGAGCTTGAACATGAACAAAAATGTTTAGGGAAAGTCCGAACCTCAAATTTTATATTTAAGAAATAGATGTATTTTTAAGATCTTTGCTATCCAATTTTTATTTTATTATCTCACATTTCACCAAGTTAACCAACATGTTGCAAGCAAGAAAAAAAATTATAAAAGCATTTTGGAATGCCACTCCCCTCCTCCAAACAGTGCAAGCATTTTTCTCCCTCCATACACAATTCTCTTTTTCTTGCCCCGAGGAGTGCCAGCCCTTTTTTCTTCCCTAGACAAATACTGCCAACCCTTCTCCTCCGCCCACTCCATATACATGATGGTCTATCTGCACATCTTCTTTCTATTAAACGTGCATCTGTAATAGATCTCCATAAACGGACAAACTAAATAATGGTTTAAACACTGAAAAAATTCCAACTTGGTTTCAGTGCGCAAACACTAAGAATGCAACTATGCACAAGTTAAAATCCTTGTCATAAAGTCACAGCATCAGTTTTACAGTTCAAGCTGATCCACGTTATCAGATGTCAGATGTGGAATGCTTGTCCAGTTTACAGGGATGTCAGGGATTTCCTATATTAAGCTTTTTTCAGAGGAGGAACAGGTAAATGTAATACTTTTGGGGTGAGACACACTCCTCTGACGACAGTGCAGTAAAGTGAGGTTTGTGGACAAGTGGCTGAGAGCATTGGGGTTAGGTGGATGATGATATGCCTCAATTGTCTTAACCTTTGTAAATCTGGAAAATTATACAAAATTCGTGCCTGCAAGCTATGTGTGTTATTTAATTTTTTTTCTGGAAAGAAATAGGAATTTTTTTATCCCTTAAAAAAAAGGACATCACCGAATAGCACTGAAGCTCATTATAGAATGTTCTATAAATTGGAGTCCTTTAGCTCAGTGGTGAGAGCACTCGCTTTGCAAGCGAGACACCTGGGTTCAATTCCAGGCAGGGCGAAACCTTGGGCAAGTTTCCTTACTCGCACAGAGCCTAATAATAATCCCTCCAAAACAAAAAACAATAATAAATTGGTCATTTTCAATCCACGACTGTTTGTGGGACACTACTGTGCCCAATTGGCTGCCGCGTTTCGCCCACAAATATACAATCAATTCACTTTACAGCATATTCTGTGAAGCGCTTTGAGACGTCTCGAAGATGTGAAAAGCGCGAAATCAAATGCAAGGATTATTATTGTATTATATTATATTCCTTTAATAAGTATCAAGATTGTTTTTGCAGACCATGCGCCTGGTCCATGTTTGAAGAGTCACAAAGCTCATGACAACTGTCACCGCAAATGATACAGAGTCTATTAAGAATGCGGATCATATGAACAAAACAAACTCTGTTTTGTTTTGCAGATAATTAAAATGTTACGGAAGAATGAATAGGTTACAGATGCAGCAGACAGAATTCAGTTTGATTTCTACTATTTTAGAAAGTATCTATTCATTCTGGAGCAATAACAAAACCTTAACAATCAAAATATTCAACAAATATCTAAACTCAATGTTGCTTTTCCCAGCTGCAATATAACTGACTGCTTATTGAAATTCTCTAGCTCTCGAAAGGCAAAAATTACAATGCAGAAGTCAAATAGATTGATTATGCGCAAAATGTCATTCCTTGAGGGGAAGGGAGGGGGGAGGGGAGGGGGAAGAAATCCACTACCATCCAATAGAATATATTTTTGTTCCAGGCAAAAATTGATTTTTCAACAGTTTACGACAATCATTGAATTTATTTCAAGGCAGGCAATGGAAAATATTTCAGATACAAAACAAGTAAATTGAAATTCTAATCCGAGGTCAACCAAAATCATTTTAAGTCTGAAAATTAATTGTTGTGAATATTTTCTTAAATTTTAATGTTATTGTGATTTTCTTTTTTATGCCTAAAATACATCCTTTACATAAAATAAAGCAGACTAAAGAAACGTGCTAAAAATGTTACCTCAACATTATTCAATTGACGAAATATATAGAATGAAAACTTTACAAAACAATCATTACAAACAAATTCAATTCACTTGAGCAAAGCTTTCACTTTTAGTGTATCAGTCTGATCTCTTTCCCCTCATTTTTTGTGAAAAAAGATGGTGTCAGTGTTTCTCAACTACTCTGCAAACCTCATCTTCGTAACCTTAAAAATGTGCCACTACAGCAGATAGATGAATCCTCTATTATACGAATCGGGATTCATAAAATTACCAGGACCACAGGAATGGGAGAGACTACTAAACAAATCAATTTCATTTTGGACAAATGGAGAACAATTTTTTCTTAATAGCTTACAATGAGATAGAAACTTCCGCTAAACTGTTGTCATAGGCTGTAAAATGATCAAGGAATTGTTTAGGTAAAACATTTCTACAGTACGATTTGATGATTCAAATTTCAATTTAATTTACCATTGGTTGCGACTGCCTCCATGAAATACTAGTTGTTCAAATTTTATGCACCCTGTCTCATGATACCTTTGGGGTAGAATTTTGATCACAGTTACGTGAAATGGAAGATTGTGCCAAAATTGAAAATGATTCCTTTGTTTACCTTGCAACATTACTAATGCTAACCAGCTCTATGGAAATTGAAGAATGAAGGTTTGAAACTGAATAGAAACATAAGAACAAAATGATTGTTTCTGCAGTTATTTGAATGAAAAACTAATTATAGATAGATATGCCTACAACAAGGCTGTTTTTACCTTGTTTTTGCGTTTTGTGGCTGGGAATCGATTCTGTAACTGGTCAGAGTTTGATCTCCTTTGCAAATTCGGAGATAGACCATCACTGCAAAGTGAGTCATCTTCTTCCTCATTTGTTTCCTGTGCAAAGAAAGTATCAAGTATTGTTTAACCTTATTCCAGAATTCAGCAAATAAATTGCATTTGTTGTGTAAAGCCTACATCCTGTGCTCCTGCAAAATAAAATATTCACCTTCTCCCTTGCTATCAACCCACTAAGGTTTCAGACCCACAAAATAAATACACAAGAGAAAATATTTTCTTTTTTTTAACAGTCTACTGATGCTTGCACACAAATTTACTTGCAAATCCAAAATTATTTCAGCACCACAGGTCAGTCAAGTTTGACTATTTCAGCTCCCAACTGCAAATTCAAAAAAATCACCTTTATCAAAATACACATAAAGTTGGGGTTATCAACATCTCAATGATAAAACATGCAAACAAAGAAAAGGATTGTTCAATCTCAAAGTAAAATAATAACAGATCAAGATAGCCTGAAGGTCAGGTATAAAAAATGTATGTTACTGAACAAAGGATTAAACAAATTTCACAAGTCAACAACAACAACAAGATTCCATTTATAAAGCGCCTTTCACGTCAGGACGTCCCAAGGCGCTGCACAGTTGGGTCATGACCCGAGCAGGGGGAAATGGTCAGGGTGAGGGGAGGAAGGGAGGGAGCGAGGAGGGGGGAAATGGTCAGGGTGAGGGGAGGAAGGGAGGGAGCAAGGAGGGGGGAAATGGTCAGGGTGAGGGAGGGAAAGGAAGGAGCGAGGAGGGGAAGAGAGTCGAGAGGGAGCTGAAGGCACGGTCAAAGAGAAAGGTTTTGAGACCGGCCTTGAAGGAGGAAAGGGAGGAAGCGAGGCGAAGGCACTGGGGATGGAGTTCCAGAGCCTGGGGCTGAGAGGCTGAAGGCCCGACCACCGATGGTAGGGCGGTTGGGGCCGGGGACGTGGAGCAGACCAGAGCCAGAGGAACGGAGGGTACGGGCAGGTAGGTAGGGGGATAGTAGGTTGGAGAGGTAGGAGGGAGCAAGGCCGTGAATGGCCTTGTAGGTGAGGATGAGGATCTTGAAATCAATCCTCTGGGGGATGGGGAGCCAGTGGAGGCGAGCGAGGGTGGGAGTGATGTGGTCGCGAAGCCTGGTGCGGGACAGTACACGAGCTGCAGAGTTCTGAATGACCTGCAGCTTGTGGAGGGAGGTGGCGGGAAGGCCGGCGAGGAGAGAGTTCCCATAGTCCAGCCTTGAGGTGACAAAGGCGTGAACCAGGGTTTCAGCAGCGTGAGGGGTGAGGTAATGCCGTAGTCTGGCGATGTTCCGGAGGTGATGGAAGGCGGTGCCAGTTGTGGTGCGGATGTGAGGGAGAAAGGACAGCTCAGGGTCGAACAAAACGCCGAGGTTCCTGACTGGCTTTGAGAGGTGGAGAGTGCAGCCTTGGATGCTGATGGTGTCAGCGCCTGAGGTGCGGAGGCGCTGACGTGAGCCAATCAGGAGGGCCTCGGTTTTTCGCACGTTGAGCTGAAGAAAGTTGTCTCTCGTCCAGGACTCGATGTCGGACAGGCAGGCTGTCAGGACATCGGTGGTCGTGGAGTTGAGAGTAGAGGAGGAAAGGTAGAGTTGGGTGTCATCCGCATACATGTGGAAGTTAACTCCATGTCTGCGGATGATGTCACCGAGGGGGAGCATATAGAGGGTGAAGAGGAGGGGACCGAGGACAGAGCCCTGAGGGACACCACATGAGACAGTACGGGGGGTGATGTATATCTCTTGCAACTTTCTTGTTTTAGATTGTTCAAAGAAATCAAAAAACATAATGTCAATGATATCAGTTGTGGTACGTACCTTCTGTTTTAACATGCTCTTCACTTCTTTGATTCCCAGCTTCGCATGGTTCTTAGCCTTGAAGAAAAAATATTGATAGGATATTCTTTTAAATAAGAAATATGTTTTCAATACTGTCATTAAATAGTTGCAAGTTTTCTTTAATGCTGCAAGGAAGTAAATAATATTGTGAACTCATGATGATACTATAACTGCAATCGAAACAATACGATTCAACAATACCTTGTGCTAAGAATAATACCATAAATACTGAATATACAGTACTGTACAAGCAAACAGTAGTTATTAAATTACTGTAACTTGTTATTGTGGTCATTACTGAGTTACTGTTTTCTAACTCAAAAACAAGGAATTAGGATTTTAAGTATATTCTTCTGAATTTCATTAAGATTCCAAATATTATATGGGGACATTCTATACTGATGTCTTACTTGTGAGAGTGAACAAAATGTCACATTTTTAAACCAAGGAATTGAAAGCTGGATATGTAGCACAGCACGTAAACCCGAATATATTCATCATTTAACCTGATATGTTACAGTTTACTTATATACTTACAAATTTGTACACTGTTTTCATGGCGGGATTTGCTTTGGTCATCACAGTATTTATAAGGGCTCCTCCTTTCTGCAAACAAACAGTATTTGATTTAAAAAACACAGAAAGAGGAGTAGGCCATTCAGCCTTTTCTAGCATTTTGTAAGAAATTAGTTTAATCTAAATTTCCCTTTTCTCCATATCCCTTATAATCTTACTATCCTCGTTATGCATGGCTTTTCCTTACAAAACAATACCCCAGCCCACTTATTGTTCAAGTAAAAACTAAAGTAAAGCAGATCTGCAACAAAGGTCAAGTTAATTGTCCCACTCAGTTACCATGTGATCAGGTCAACATGTCTAAAAATAAATTCTTCTCCGCACACAGAGATATGTCATCCATTTCCACAAATGTGTTGCCACTCAGCTATCCCAGCTCCCACTCCCACTGTAAGAGTGGCTTCTGGGCAATCATCTGCGTTTTGTGAATGCAACCACATTGATGACCATTTCTAAACTGCAAAGATTTCGTTAATATTTGATAGTTCAATTGGAAAGGGTAACTGGTGATCCCAGCAAATTTCACTGTCCCGCTTCGTTTGATTTTTTAAAATTTTAATATCATTGGTATAGAATAAGCGAGTTTATGTACCACAACAATTTCTGGTTATGGAATCTCTATTGACTCTCTCATTGTTTAGTCCTAAACAATGCTAGCAGAATACATATGACGCTGATTACTTCTCACAACTAGACATGGAGAACAGAATCTATACATTCACATCTATACATTGCTCTAACCTTGACTGTTTGCATCCACTGTTGATATGATTTTGAACTTCCTGTAGACAGAACACAAAGAAATGGATTGCAACATTGTAATTACTTTTTTGAAAAATTAAAAAGAAAATAATCCTTGCATTTTGAGACGTCTTAAAGTGCTTCAGAGGTCTTTGGTATGAAGTATAGTGACCATGTATTTGTAAGAGAACGAGCAGCTAATTTGCACACAGTAATGTCCCACACAAGAGAAATGAAAGTATAATTTTCTGAAAATTAATTACACTAGAATTTCAATTTCAAACACTTCACCTAAGCTACCATTACATCTGCCTTCAAAAACCTCCTAAAAAAAAACTCTTGAGGTGTGCTTGTGGTCAACATTTTCTCCTAAATGTGCATCACTACATTTTCTAACTCTTGGACCAGTTAAGTTTTATGAATGCAAATCGCAGCAATTGAGTTTCTTCCACAGACCAACAATAAGATAAAGGAGGGGTAACAAATGCATTGTATAAAGCTGTATTCTCACCTCCACTGTAGCCTCCAGCAGTTATCTCCTCTTCGAAAAGATCTGAAAATCCTCTTCCTGTGTTTAACTTTTCCAACCTACCATCAATAAACTAAGACAACAAAAGAACAAGAAACACATTGGAAAAGGTCAAACTAAATTTGAAACACTTTAAGCATCTTCCTTTTATTGGTGTGTAATGTGTGTAATGTTCTCAGAGTATTTAAAAACACTAAGAATACAATACTTCACAACACAAGTAAATAATAATTGTATATCTTCATGCATAACACTTTGCAGACAATCAAATTACTGTGCCCTAAGATATACAACTAGTGGCATTTAGTCAATAAAGTCCAATTTATTACGAACTGCTAATGGCACATATTTCATTGTAAAGTACATTTGGCACAAACAGAATAATCTGATGCCATTTTACATCTGCAGGAATGCCTCAGAATATTTTCACTTCATTTATTGTGATTACTGCAGATGTTTTGGAGGGACATACAAACAAATTGCTTCGTACACATAATAGGCATCAATGATTGTGGCTTTTTAATTGCACACTTCTCAGGTACAGAAAGTGGTGCAAATACCCACAAAAATTTCAAGCATTTCATTGATATTATTTATTTATTCACAGGTAGTATTCTCTAAATTGTATGTGTTAAAATAATTATATACAAAGGATTGAAGTCCTTTAAAGTACATGGCCATACTTCATTCATAATTTCCAAATACAATACAATTTATGATCTACCGTTCTGAAGATTTAAATATATTGTAGCATTTTGCTCACAAAATAGTCAATTCACTTTATAGTATATTCTGTGAAGCACTTTGAAACATCTCAATGACGTGCTAAGGCACTTTATCAAATGCGAGGATTATTATTATTGGATAGATTTACAAGGTTTACAAAGATGTTTCAGGGATGACACTATCAAACAAATCATATTCTCATTTTGTAAATATGGATGAGTTATTAAAATAGTTCCCATAAATACTATTGCTATTTGTTGTTTAGATAAAGGTAAGAACTTCAGTGTTTAGGACATTTAGGTGACAGACTTTAACCTTATATAATATATAATATAATAATCCTTGTATTTGATATAGCGCTTTTCACATCTTCGAGATGTCTCAAGTGAATTGACTGTATTTGTGGGCAAAATGTTGCAGCCAATTGTGCACAGCAGTGTCCCACAAACAGTCATGGATTGAAGTGACCAATTTATTGCTTTTTTTTCTTGAGGGATTATCATCAGGCGTGTGGAGTAAGGAAACTTGCCTAAGCTTTTGCCCTGCCGGGAATCAAACCCAGGTTTTTTGCTTGTGAGGCGAGTGCTCTAATCAGTGAGCTACTGGACTTCACATTACATTATTGTAATATGAGAGCTCATATTACAATAGTAGATTGGGCTTGCTGTACATATTTAGCTTAAGTCTTATAATACCAATGTAAACTTGATTTTTTTATTTTATAAAGTGTCATCGCACTGAACAGGTCAAAAAAGCTGGATGCTTACTGGACCATAAAGTGCTATCAGTGACTACGCAAATAGCGGTGTCAGTGGTAATATGAAGGATGTCAATTCAACAACCATTGAAATGAAACAAATGGAATTCCTGCAAATTATAACAATGGCAGCAGCAACGGGATGCAAATGATGAACCAGGCAGATAACAACGTGCATTTTGGATTCTTGCTGCACAGATTCTTATATAAAGGGAGTGGGCCAAAATACTTAGCTTGTGATCAGATATGGGCAACTTTTCTGGATATCATGTTAGGTCAAATGACTTAAGAGCAATTGAGCTTCCAGAGAGCTGAAATGTGTTTGATCTGCAGGTCACTATTATTCAGAGAACTCAAGAAGTCTTTTTGTGCCTTAAGTCTACACAGATTACTCCTTATCATCATACACAATTTATATCAGTTCAAAAAAAATACTGCACACAGAAACAGATTATTCAATTAAAAAAATCTTTTTTCAACCAATGGATAAATTTATAATGGCTGCAGTCATCTGAGAAAGGCAATAAATAAATGAGGCTTTACCTGTTTGAAGAGCTGAAGCTGAACAGCATTTTGAAGGAAATGTTTTATCGTGTTGGAACGATGGGCAATGTAGCTCTCTTCACAAAATGTGATGGGTTCTCCCTGCAATTAAACCACAACTATAAGTTTAAGTGAATAGATCACACCACCAGCAAGTACAAGTGTAGTACATATCAGTACTTAAACTTATAATTTGCTTTTACTGCACTGATGCTCGTTAACTACTGGTAGTTTAAACAACATGGTAGGAGTTCCACATTTATGCAAACTTGTATTTATAAAATGTGCATATTCAAAGTATGACATTTTTTGGGAGGTGTTAAAGGCTATAAACTAGTGAAAAATAAAATTTTGATTGCGCCTGAAGATCAATGGGTAAGGAATAAGTAAGTTGTTTGAAGACGTGACTGGCTTTCTACCTGTTGTGCTGAATTAATTATTTGTTACTGACACCAGAAAGCAGTGTGATGTTAATGATAAATACTGCATCTTCTACACCACAGCGAAAGGACCCATCACAGCATATTATCAAACTGTGGGCTGAATGGTCTCTGAGGTGACAGGCTTGGCAGGTCTGTACTAATCCAAAGCAAACATACATGGAGGCGTAGACAGGTGCTTAACCTTGTAAGCCAGAGCTGCACTGCAGAAAGCAATCCTAGCTGAAGCAGTTACAATACAAAAAGTACTGCAAACATTCCTTTCCCCAAAACATACTGAGCAAATATTTTGCTCAAAGCAAAAGTAAAATGATAAACATGAACGCAATTTGAAATTACAAACACTGGTAAATTGTGATTTCAAATTATGTTAACATTAATCTTTTTACTCAGTATTATTAATCTATGTGTAAGTGAGTTCCTATAGTGGATTGACAATTTATGAAAAAGAGAATAATTTTACTCTCTGTGAGATCCTTTCAGTCAAACATGGAGCACTTATGCATTGATTATATATGTCTAAAAAGGAATTTTTTCCAGTAATGTATTTATCAGCAGGCTTGACCTTAAGTTGCAACACCAAAGTGCAGTCAGGCAATATGTGACATCTCTGACCTGTAAATAGGTAAACAAAATAAATGTATTCTTCATAGTCTACATTCATGAATTAGTGTACATCAATGAAAATGAAAAACATCCTCAGTGAAAATAGCTTCTCACATGAAACCACTATTTGGATAATGGACACAGTTTTGAATGTCACTGAGCTGCCAATTTAAATGGCATACGAGACAAAATGTAAGACAAGTTCATCAGATAATTAAAAAATGTGAACTTTAATATTTATTCACATTGCACCAAAGTCAAATTGTCACACAAGCACATAGTTCTGCCAGGCAGTCAATGATAATGGAAAAGAAACTCTAAAGACTCTGGAGCATATTTTCTAAGCTTGTGCCTGGAGAAAGGAGAATTATGATGAGTCATTGCAGCACAGTCAGAATACACCAAGCAAATACAAGAGGACAATATTTGGACTCTTGGGAGTTAGAAATCATTCCAAATATTGTTTTGGGGGAGAGTGGGTGGAAGTGTTTGTACATACACTGGGAATTAACAACAAACGTTGATTTGGGCCTATTCTCGTCTTGTTCATTCCATCCTATGAGTTCATGAGACCTGGATCCTGTCGGCACTCAGAAGTACAGAAAAATTAAATGTAATAAAAACAGGAGAGTGAATTGAAAAAGGAGGAAATACAACCAAAGAAAAAGAACAAGTTAATAGGCTTTACTTATGCCCCCAGCCCCCGACAAGTTTAATTTTGTAGCAAAAATACTTTTAACATCTGCTTTATTACTGTTTTAATGTCAGTGATCTGAAAAAAATGGCTAGTTCAGGGAGCCTGGAACTATCTGAAGTTGCTGGCAGTCAAAACCAATGAGTGATGGAGATTTTTGAGAAATTTTACATTACTGATAACTCAATAATTGGCTGCGCACATTTTGTCTACAAAAGTATGCAGTCAATTCACCTTACAGTATATCCTGTGAAGTGCTTTGCGACTACAACAAAAACAACAAGATTATATTTGTATAGCACCCTTCACATCTTATTATTAACACTTGGCTTATATCAGTTGACTGAGTCTAAAGAGTTAAATCTGAGTGGCACACAAAAAAACACTGTTTAGAAACTTAAAACAATTCTAAGCAGAAACCCATTTCAGTACAGTTGTAACCAGGTGCATTAAAAAATAACTGAAAGGACAGGGACGGAGTTCAATTATTTGATGTTTTAAAAAAAAACTTCCAATTTCTCCTCTATTTAAAAACACATCAAAAATGCAAAGTGTGGACAACACAATATTAAAACATCTGAAAGTTTGACCCTCAAAATGGGAATTCCATGTTTGAAGTGTAACTGTGATATGAACTGGGACAATATCCTTTAATCTTTCTGAGATGAAACTTCACATGTTGTAACATTGCAATACAAATGGATACATTCTCTGGCTGTGTTTCAGAACACTGGCAGTTAATAGCACTGGGAATAACTGCTGCCAAGAACCATTAAACATGACTTCTTTTTCCATTGAGGACTGGTAGAATGTTGTCACTATAAACTCTAAACCATCGATCAAATTATTCACAAAATAGAATCCAACAATTAAAAAGCACAACACCATAAATTATTTTTTCTTCTTTTTCTAACTCAGGCATCATATTAAACCTCACAGTAGAGTAGACTTGTTTTATTTTATGAACAGAGACGAATGATGCAGCAACACATTCAACATACACCCTTGTAAATCATGGCTTTATAAAGTGTATAATTATTTCTGATAGAATTGCACTATGGGGAATAGGTGATGCAGTGGTCCTTTCCCCTCAACCTATGAATGCAACATAAACGAGGCTGGGCTGCTTGAATGAAAGTTTCTTCTCACTAATGGCTGTAGAGCTCTACATGAAACAAGTTTAAAAAGCTTTAAGGCACTGATTCATTTGATTTGTCAAAATTACCCACAATTTAGAACCAAACAAGCAATCTCAAAGGATGTCCTCTTGAAGTTGGAGTTAAGGTATAAACGCTGGGTAAAGAGCTTTGCTCTATCTGGCCCATGCTACACATGACCCATGAGCAATATGATCAGTGAGGAAAAAGTTTGCTTTTCCTAGAAAATTACTTTAATCAGCACACAAATTCACGCAAAAGGAATGAAATACCGAGTTGGCACAAGTAATTAATAATATGGGTGTTGCATTAACACTGTCCAGGTAAAAATATGCATTTTTTCTCAGTACTTGATCTCAACTGGACAGACATTTGTGGTGCCATTAGCTGTTTTTGAAGAATTCAGTTCCCAGATCTCAAGGACTGTGCAAGTTAGGCTGGATAGGTTCGGCCTTTTTTCGAAAGAGAGACATTTACAAGAGGACCAAATAGAGGATTTTAAAATTATAAAAGAGTTTGCTAATATTAGCATAAATAGGTTGTTCCACACTTATTAAAAAGTCGTTACCAGGGCCACAATTATCAGATTGTGACTAGATCTAAAAGAGAATTTAGGAGGAATTATTTCACATAGCGAGATTGTGGAGCTCGTTGCCTGAAGTGGTGGTTGATGCTAAACCTAGATATAGCATATAAGATTAATGAAAAAATACCAAATTATTTTAAGAACAGACTAACATGCTACACTTGAAGGCTGAAAGTAGAGTTGGATGTTTGTAATGTTTCTCCAACACCAGTTGTCGATGAAAAGAATGAAAATTCAATGCTGATAATGCTGATACCAGCATTCCTGGTACATGCACAAATGCAATCAATAATAATAATAATAATCCTTGCATTTTGATATAGCACATTCAACACAAATACTGAAACTTAGCTCCTTGGAAAAAAAAAATTCATAATTTAATATCCACAATATAGCTGCACATGTTGTTTGGATGCTGCAAGACCAAGTTCAGAATTCAAAGGATGTATAAATGCTATATTGGCATCATAGATCTTACACATTTATGTGTTGCAAGTCATTGTTCAGCAATACAATACACAAAATAAAGCCATGCAACCATTAATACATAGATTTTGTTTTTTTGGGTAGAAGCAACAACATTTCCTCTCTGATGCCAATAAAACACATCCCCTTCTCCCTGTACCAATTGTAAAAAATATTTTCACCTGCAGGTTAGGATAAAATGTCAAAGTACAGGAACTTAACCAAAGCCATCTTTGCTACTATCATCATATAATCATAGGATTATACAGTATAGAAGGAAGTCATTTGGCCCATCGTGTCTGTGCCGCTTCTTTTAAAAGAGCCTCCAAATCAATCCCACTCCCCCGCGCTCTCCCCGTAGCCCTGCAAACTTGTCCTCCCAAAATAATTATCTACTTCTCTCTTTAAAGTTGTTATCGAATTGGCTTCCACCACCCTTTCAGGCAATGCATTCCTGATCCGAACAACTCGCAGTGTTAAAAAATTTCTCCTCACCTCCCCTTTGTTTATTTTAACAACTATTTTAAATCGATGTCCTCGGTTACCAATCCACCCGGCAGTGTAAATAGTTTCTCCCTGTTCACCCTAACGAATCCCCTTATAATTTTGAAAACTTCTATTAAGTCTCCTCTTAACCTTCTCTGCTCCAAGGAGAATAATCCTAGCTTCTCTAGCCTCTCCTCATAACTGAAGTCCTGCATTCCTGGTGCCATCCTGGTAAATTTCCTTTGACCCTCTCCAATGCCTTGACATCCTTCCTAAAGTGTAGTGTCCAGAACTGAATAGAGTACTCTAGCTGAGGCTTCTTACTCTGGGTTAATGTTTTGTGCTTAAAATCAGTCATTTTAATAGCAGGGAGAATTCATGACACTATGTCTGTTTGCCATTGCCAACACGTTGCAGCAAAATAAAAAGCACAACATGAGAAAGAAAGATGACAGTGATGCATATAAAACAGAATAGAGGAGTTCAGATATTCCCCAGAGCAAGCTTCTGAGAAGAGTTAGAAAAATAATAATAAAATAATAATCCTCACATTTGATATAGCACCTCAGCCAATTGTTGAAATGTCTCAAAGGGCTTCACAGGAAATTCTGTAAAGTGGATTGATTATATTTTGTGGGCAAAACACAGCAGCCAGTTGCACACAGCAATGTCACTCAAACAGCCATGTAGCGAGTGACCAATTTTATTCAGGGAATCATTGGCCAGGACACCGGGAGAAACTCTGAGAAACTCTGTTCTCTTTTCGAACAGTGCCATGAGATCTTTAATATCTACCTGAATAGGAAGACAGGACCTTGATTTAACATGTCATTGGAGGAACGGCACCTCCGACAATGCATCACGCCCTCACCAATGCAACAGGAGCATCAGCTTAGACTATGCGATTCCAAATCCTGGTGTGGGGTTTATCCCAAAACCTTCTGACTCAGAGGCGAGCCAGGCTACCACCGAGCCAGGCTGACACACAAATGATATGTGAAGAAGAATTTCATTCAAAGAATGACTTCTAATTATATTTGTTATCCTACATATACCATTGACAGTTGTGCACAGTGTTGCTTCTTGTAGAAAAGGGAGGTCTTGCTAATTTAAGATTGAAGGCAGAGGGAAGCACAGACTTTGGCAAAATCATGGGAGCTCGGCAATCTTAATGCTAGGCAATGCTGCAGCACCTGCTTCAGCATTCCCTAGCTTTAATGCTGGAGCTTTATTCCGGGAAGCACTCCAAGATGCTACCCTGTTGAAGGGCGCTATATAAATGCAACTTGTTGTTGTTAATGAACCATTTAGTTACCGTTTATTTTGACAGAATTTTTGTACTACTGAACATAAATATTTCATAATTGTATTTATATCTGTATAGTAGTAGACACTATTATAGATATTCATATCACTGACAGTCATTAATGAACCAAAAGAAAAACTCCTGCCAGCTGAACATATAGAGCCAAATAGGACAAACATGAAGTCTGGAATGAACCATTTTGCCCTTGCGACTGAAATTGGGTGTTGGCGAGCAAGAAATAGATGAAACTGGTGAGAAAATGTCAGATAGCTGCACGAAAGCAATGTCTACACAAAAGCAGATACCTCAGAATGTTGCCTTCCACTTGGGAGAGGAAGCAGGTCTGGACCTTTAACCTCTACTTTCACCCCCAAATGTGGAGTCCTGAGGCTTAGTGCTTAGAGCACTCACCCCGCAAGCGAGCGGACCCGGGTTCAATTCCCGGCAGGGCAAAACGTTGGGTAAGTTTTGTTACTCCACATGCGTCTGTTTACGTAGCAGTAAGTAGGAACCCAGTTGTTAGCTGATTGGTGGATTGCTTTTCCGGGGATAAAAATCCCCTCAAAAAAAATGTGTTCACTCAATCCACGACTGTGTGAAATTGGCTGCTGTGTTCCACCCACAAATATACAGTCAATTCACTTTACAGTATATTCTGTGAAGTGCCTTGAGGCGTCTAGAAGACATGTTAAGGTGCTATATCAAATGCAAGGATTATTATTATTATTATAATACAAGAAGGATGATTTGAATAGTAGACCAACAAACATGAAGCTTTATACTTAAAATTGAAAATAATGCTACAAATGGCACAGTGGGGAGATTTAAAAAAATACTCACAGGTTTATATCGAAGTGAATCCCTGTAGGAGCCAAACAGAGCCGCCTGTGCCTTGAGAAAAGCCCTGGCTACTCCATCTCCTGTAGCTGTAGACTGTTTCTTCAGCTTATTTTTCAGGGATGAGATCTAAATAATAGTGAGAAAAAGCTGAAACTTGTACCAAGTACAATAAAAATTAGTCCAGACCCTTCACTGAAGCTACGCACAGCTTCTCAAGTCACTCAAATGATCTTCATTCTAAAAATAACTTTTTCTTCTGAGCAGTCACTGCTCAATTAAGTACCACAAAAATATACCAAGATTAATGGGAAAATGCTAATACATTTCTAAGATTCTGAAAGACTCCTAAGGTAATGAGGGTTTTAATTATTTAACTGTGCAGAAACTTATTTGGATTGTTTCACGTGCATGTTCAGAACGAAGGATTTATGCACTCTGCACCAAATAAGCTGAAGGAAATTTCCCGTAAACATTCAACAGAGAGCTCCCAACTAATTTTATTTTTATTTAAAGGTCAACAACCCTTTTATCAGTTCCACCAAGAGCGAGAATATTTCTGTGATTCGCAACAATTTTTTTAAAAAAACAGAAAAGGTTAGAATTATTTCACAAACAATAGAAAAACATAAATTGAAGATGGCCATGTAAGTACAGGCCATAACTATGGCATCATAAAATCACACCTTACAGCTGTGGCTATGACTTTGACTTAAATTTTATGCAATTGACTTTCCAAGAAGAATGTATTATTGTATAATGCAACACCTCAAAAGCATCAAATAAAGGGCAATAATATTTTTAAAGTATATCCTATTGTTCTTATATATATATGGACTCAATTTTATTTTTCAGTGCTTTCATTTATTATTGTAACCCAATGACTAATTAATCACACTTTAATAAAGATAACTAGTGCTGAACAAGGCATCAGAGAAAACCCAGCTCTACAGGTGATAAAACCTTTACAGCAGTGACATTTTTCAGTGTAAAGTCACAGTTACTGTGATCTGATCAAAGAAAGGGACCCCCATAGGGTCCAATTATAGCCATATTTTTATGGAAAAATCATTGCGTTATGATGTTCATAATCTATGCAGAAAGGACATTACAATATAGGTCTTTTCCCAATAGCTGTGATCTTTTCAATTTACATCAAGGCTTGATAGCTACAGATGAAAGTCTTGAAGTCCAATTCATTTAGTACAGTGACTGCATATACCAAGGCTCATTAGGTTTCTTCAATTAATTTCAGCACCAGGTTGTGAGGTACATAATCTATATCTCTGTGGTGAGAAAGGTTAAATATTATACAAATCTACTGAACTCTCCATGCTCTTTTAATTGACATTGCACTACAAATTCATTCTGCATATCATAGGATTTGCTCTCTCAATTCCAGTCAATACAATTTCTAAAGAAATTTGCAAGAAAACAATATACATATAAACAGATTGTTTATGTGGCATTATCAGGGAATTTTTTTTAAAAAGCCATGATCGTAAACATATCTTACCATACACTTTCCCAAATATGTTCAAAGACTGGATTGTTGGAAATTTGTAGAAGAAAAAATTGGAGATGTTTGCACAGCAGCACATACAGTGCAGCATAATCTTATTTTTCACTTTATTTTTTTAAGCTCTTCGTAAACCACACTGACCCCACACCAGTCCTTTCCCCCAAATGGTCTATCAGTCTGTTAAGCGCTCTGAGACACTATCCTGCATGGAGGGCGCTATGTAAGTGCAAGTTGTTGTTGTATCTATGTTTGAGGCTTTACAGCAAGCATGAGAAGCCACATATGATCCTATCCCCTCTGAACATCCAAAAAATTCACATCTTTAGCAGGAGTCACTAGTTTGCAAGTCAGAAATGAGAATCCTGGCTGCTTTTTCTTCTCTAGCTTTGCTAACTCAGTTCAGACCAGGGAATCTTCTTGATCAGCATGGCTAACTATTGGATAAACTGGCTCAACTATCGGGGAACTAAGCACATGAAATGACTCATTTAATAATAAAGTAAGTGCTTTTACAGGATTGAATGTTCCTCAAAATGCTTCACCAGAGCAACAAAACCTCCACGTTTGCATACAAGAGGTTGTTGTTTCAAAATGAAATAATCCCTAAGTAATTTGAAATTTGAAACATTGCCTCCTTTCATTTATTTTCCTCATGAACCCAGCTACAATCAAGGAACAGAAAGTAAAAGGTAAAACATGTAGGTTCTTTTCACTCCAACGATCTGTTTCAGCAGAATTTTGAAACAAGTACTAGACTGTACATCTTTTTCTTCGAGGCTGCTCAACTCACTAAAAATATGACTTTCTAAGCATGGTTGCTGACTCTGCTTGCTTTCAAACACGTTTAGATTTTCACCTGGAACCTCTGGGCTTTTGTAATGGAATTCTCTAATTCTGAAACGCAGAAATCTAAATTTTCCAGCAATTTAAATTGATTATTTTGAAAACAAATTAGAAAACAAAAGTCTATTCCTTCTTTGAAATAATTCCAGCAGATATGTGACAGCTCGTCACAAACAACACGCTATTTGAGAGGGACGAAATCATTTGAGGCACCAATTCATCAATTGAGTTTGGACACATATTTCTCTATTATCAGGTGGTTAAAAATGTGCATACTACAATGTCCACTTATTTATATTCTTCAGACCCCAGGCAATCTGATTTGTACAGGTTTTCAAGAACTGTGCCACCAATTGGCAGCTCTGCTCGACATGGCAGATGATATTTCAGCTCCCATGAAATGAAACACAGAACTATCCCTGACAATTAATTTTACCCAAATATGAAACTGATTCAGACCCTATTTATTCAAAATATTCAGGTGTAATAACAATAATAATTATGGAACCTGTGCCAGTCTCACAGGAGAACTGGAGGCAATAAAGTGGAGAGGGCCTTCTTTTTATGTCACTGATCCTCAAAATTATCACTTAAGGTATCACTTAAATATTTTTATTTCAGACAGATGCAAATCCAATCACATAATTTTAGCTGAAATTATACAATAAATATTTCTGTTCTTAGTTTCAAAAAAATTAACCTAGCAACAATATCAACATCTTTAAAAAAATGCTTTGGTGGGTACTGATTCAGGCAAGAGGTTTTTTTTGTATTTTTGTGACCTTAATACAAGATAAATCTATAAAACTTTACTTTCAATTCATAAATTATAAACAATTAGTATGCTTTATCCATTGGAAAAAAGTTTACTTTTTGAAACTGTTCTGGCTAACAATGAAGGAGCACAACATTAGACATTAAATGTACAAACCAATTTACATGGTCTGGTATGGGAGAGAACATTGGCTGCCGAGTTTTGGTTGTCTGCAGCCTGTATTGAAAAGAGCTGGGGAATGCAGCAAGAAGAGTGTTGGCATAGTCAAGCCTGAACTTGGTAAGATATCCCATGATAAGATTTGAAAAGGGAAGGGAATTTCTCGAGAGGTCCAAGCCAAAACTCTGGATATTCATCTCATGAATGTTTGTGGTATCTTGCTGTGCACAAATTGGCTGCCATGTTTGCCTACACATACACAGTAACTTCACCTGATAGTAATTACTTATGAAGCACTTTAAGACATTGATATTATTGGCATTATATCAAATGCAAAATTTACTAATATGGATGTTCTATAAGTTGTAGAAAATCATTGTACAGACTCAATTTCTAGGAGGGCGAATCCATCAGCATACACCAATTTAACCAGAATGGAAAGCTTCCCATTTCAGAAGGTTTAAAATGCATATGAGATTATTGTATTAATATTTTTGCTGTTTCGGGGAAGTTATTGACAGGTGAAATGTTTATGTTCATCACAAGCTTGTTGAGCAAACACAACAGAAAAGACCTGCTAAACTGGAAACATTTCATTTAATGGACAGTACCAAATCACGTAAGAGACCAGTAGTAGGGATAAAAAGCAATTTGCTTTTAAAATGCATTAACAATCCATTGAGCAACCAGAACCAGTATTCTTGAATTACACTGGAAGTAAACTATTTATCTTCAAGCTGTGTTGGGCATAGCCTGCTCCCTGAAGAGAGGCCACAGACTGGATGCTAAAAGCTATCAACCAAGAGAATGCGGAGTAGCAGAGCAAGGAAGCTAAAGAAACCTGGAACTAATAGGAAATTTCTAGGTTCTCATTTTTCACATGTTGTTCTGCTTGGCGATGCACATAAATGTATGTGCTATTTTATATTGGGTTTAAAACACAACTGCTATGAAGCCTATGTCCTTAACCCAACAAAAATTAAGCAATAGAATACGGACAATTTTAATTTATCCGGACACAACTACAATGTACATGTGAACATAAATAAAGATTCCCAAAAGGCTAATGAATGCAATTGTTTTTCCATCTGGAAATCCACAGTATTTTCTGAAGCTACATCACTAACGACAATGCTAACATTTCTAATAGTCAATAAATCTTAAATATTATGTGTGAATTTCTGACAAGAGACCATTATAAAGATGACAGCACAAAACACAGCAGAGCGTCTACATGAAAACAGTTCAGTAATTCAGGACAACTGTGACCCACTGACCTTTATGACAACTGAGACCAATACACAAACTGACCTAATAATAGACTCCATATGGACTGAAATCGTTGAGACATGAACTTGCATGTAGCTAAACATATTTTCTAACAGCTTTACTCGAATTAACATGAATCCAACTCATCATATTTTAAGATCATTTTTGAGAGGAAGATTGGTAATTTTGTTAAATAAAAATATTTGCTGTAATCTACTCTTATTATTCATTACCTTGACATGAGATTAGGGTCTAATTTGCAAAATTGTTTGCATTCATTGCCTTTTGTCACTTAACTTATGTTTTGTAAAATTAGTGGTCAGCAAATCACAAATTGGAAGTCAAAGTTCGAAGAAAACAGTAAATACAATGGAAACAACTTAATGTTTTGCTCGCCAGCCTTTTTAGAACTTTTGGACAGTTTGCCAGACTGGAATTTATTAAGCCAGAAATTACAATTTACACAGAAAATCCAGTTGTGAATATCATAAATTAGATCTTGCTGTAGACAAAACAAGGTGGACATGCAGAAGTGAGCGTATCAATTGTGTAAGTATTGATCCCTTATTTGTGGTTTGAATGAATTAAACATGAAATGCTGACCACACCCAAGTATTTATAACAAGGAAATGCAACACAAGATCAAAGAGTAGCTTAGGAAATGCAACACAAGATCAAAGCAGTAGCTTAGTACCTATTTTATCAAATGTTATGTACAAAAAAAGGCTTTTTTAAAATCTTTCATGCAAATTTATATTGGAATTGTCTTCAATAACAGAATATCAGCATTAGACAAATTTAACATTTTAAAGCAAATTACACTTTGTCCGTTCATATCATCTCAGTTGGAAGAAAAATGGTTAAAATACACAAAAAAACAAAAAATTCACAAAAACAAATGTTTTAGAATACAGCAGATCAAAGGATGAATTTTGTGACCCCAACTGTAAAAGTATTTCTTATTATATTGACCAGCCCCATTTGATCATTAATTAAAGGAAAAAGAGCTGGCAGGTGGCAGGAAAACAGGAGCTGGTAATTGGCCCCCTTCTTCTCCTTCCCTTCACAACTCAACTCGTTCTTCAGCAAGACATGCCACTAGGCAGACAGAAATGCATACTTTGTAATTTAATGATTAAGTATAAGATGAAGAGACTCTTACATTTTAAGCAGCTATGGTTAATGAATGCAGATAGCTTTCTGATCATGGGTTTAATTTACAATCGGCCACACAATTCAACACTGCTCTTCAGCCAGAGCCAGTCTTGAAATCTTGTAAGTTCTGCTTTTTGTAGTTCTATTTGTATCAATATGTTGAACTAATGTTGGTTTTAAAAACTATAATTGTTTTGTTTATTCCTTAGACCTTCAGCTCAATACGGAATCAGAAAGGGCAGATTTTAATATTGCAAGACCCTAGTGAAGCAAAACGTCTCCCTCCTTCTCCCCGATTGAAAAAAAACTTCTATTAAAACTTACGACTTCATTGGGTAGGCTGTGCAGGTCATCAAATGGTGTTTCCAGTGTGTTTGTATCTACATTGAGGATAATCACATCTTCCAGAGCTTTGTTCTTCACTTTCTGTTTGACGGAGAGAATAAAAAACAACTGCTGTAGATACATCTGCAATTTTTTTTTAATAAGAGGTGTGTGGTCTCATAATTAAGGAATACAAATTTAATTTCCAGTTGACATTTCAGCAGGGAGCACAATTTCCCTAGGAGAGTTTTACAGGTAACTGAATGCGGTAGTGGCTCTCCCTCTATCTATTTTTTGATGCTTTCAATCAGACATTCCAATTTTTCTTTCTATAAAGTAGTCTATGGTGAAATAGTAAAAACAGGTACAATTCTATTAAATTTCAGTCTAACAGTTCAAGCCACTGGTGAAGCAAGTAGGTTGATGACAACCTGTTAATTTGTGACATTTTTAGATCATCTCTGAAGAGAGTTTAAAGACTATGCAGAGTCATTTGAGTCACTGTCACTACTCACAGTGATACAATACAAAGTATTAAATTAAAAAAACATTGTGAAATTCACAAAGAAAGAATGCCAGAATTGAGAATTGAGAGTAAATGAGAAACCAAAAATTTTAACCTCATGCATGAAGGAGGCTTATCAAAAAAAAAGTGGTGATGAGGGGAGAGAAGAAAGTGAGAGGATGATCTCAAGTGCTTAATGAGATGGATGGTAATGCAGATATGTGGAAAAATAAAGAAATGTTATTACAATCCTGGGTCAGTGTCGAGGAAGCTGGAAAAGAACTCAATATTCTAAGAGACCAAAAGAGCAAAAGTGCTTTGCAAAAAGCATAAAGATATTCTCCTTCCAAATCAATCCCCTCCTTATTACTACCATATCTCTTACTCTCAGGAGTTAATGGTGAAAGAAGCATCATGCAGCCCTAGAATAGTTCTGCAGGAGACTAATAAACTGCATAGAAACACTTCCACATAATGGGCAACTGTGATGAGGGGCTTGAAGAACAATCTCAGAGACGAATGATTCGCACAGTTCAAGTTTGTTTTCTAGTGTTTATTTTCTCTTCTTTGTACTTGTGCTGTAGTTTTTGATGATGTATTATTACGTTTGAATAATTTACAAACAAAAAATCTAAGGCAGTCACTTAGGATGTTTATTCCAAATTGTGAATCAGTTCGTAATTCATCAACAAGCTTGAAATCATCCAGTCTGCTTGACTGATGCAGATACAAATCACATTTCAAAGTTCTCCATAAATAGTCGGTCTAAATGTTCGTTTGCTTCAATTTTAAAAAACAATTGTGAGACCTGACCAAATGTTTGTGTCTTTCTGTGGAGGGAGAAATAGTCTAGCTCAAACTCTCAGTAAAAACTACATGCATGAGGTTAGAAATAAAAGTATCTTCCATATAGTGCCTCCACTCTGCTGTGGGTGGGGCACACACAAGTTCACTGCATATGTGGATAGAACAATTTCAGGTCATAGATGAGGTCATGGTGAAGACTATTTGTTTCACCCACAAATATGCAGTCAATTCACTTTACAGCATATTCTGTGAAGCGCTTTGAGACGTCTAGAAAACGTGAAAAGCAAGGATTATTATTATTACTACTACTACTGCTATAAAGACCTAAACATGATTTGGCAGTTGACTAGTTTGCATTTAAATCTGTATTGGTTCAAGCTCATATTTAACAGACAGGATACGATCAGCAACTATAACAAGTAAGAAGACAGCTACAATTGCTCCCAATGTTACACTCAACAGTATAATAAGTGCTGCCTTTTTAATGCATGCAACAAGGTTGCATGAGAGAAAAAAATTAAAACATAAAAGCTAACATGTGATTGCAAAGTTCTGAATCTGCATTTCCAGAATGGTTGAAGCAACTAATTTCTACCTCTTCACAATATAATGGTATTTTGAAAACAATGCAAAGAACACTATTGCAGGAGTCAACTACTTTGGTTTCGTGTTTTTTTTGATTTATCATGTTTAATACTATTGTAACAAAGCAGTTACAAAAGCAATTTTACAAGTGAAACATTAAAGTAATTCCTGTGTACATATAGTGTTGTGGACCCAATCAAAAATTGCATCCAGATCTTCAGTTTTAAACTACTGTATTATGAAGAGAACAGTTCTTTTTATTTGTACAATACCCATAGCAGTCTTAAAATAAGGCTCAATGGGTTCCCATTTTACCACCAGCCTCTAATTCATAATTCTAGAGAGGATTAATCCGTTGAAGTTGTAACAGACTGAACATTTTCACTAACAATTTTAGATAATGGAAAGCATACCCGGTCAAAGGCAACGCATTTGTTGCACCAATTTCCCCCATTATCTAGGGAATCAGAAGAAATCAACATAGATATCTGGATGAAGAAAGACCTTAATGAAGAACTCTCTTCAAACCATTTGATCTCATTCTCCCAGAATACGCACCCTGCCGTCCTCGTCCCATTACAGCATCAAGCTGTTCTTCTTAAATTGAATCCAGGGTCCTGCTTCAACCATCCTTCCTTGTAACCTGTTTCAGTCATTAATTAGTCTGTATAAAGTTTGTCCTGAAACTGCCTGACCTGAAAGGTCTGTCCTGAAACCTGAACATGTGCCCTCTTGCTCTGGTGCATTGGTGTATTTGAAAGTGTTGTTCTGGGTTTACTTTCTCATTCCCATTTCCCCATCCTATATATTTATCCATAGACTCACAGCCAAATGTGTTGCGATCAATTAATTACATTTATAGTGTCTTAACATTGTACAAATAATGAAACAGCTATAATCTTCAGGATACATTAATTAGTATGCTGTAAGAAAGTAGTACTGTGACTATAATTTGAACCTGTTTCTTGCCCACATAATTGAATCTCTACAGGAATGACCTATGAACACAAATTTTAACAAAAGTGAAAATTGTTAACTTACATCCATTAAGCTCAAGTGAACTCCAACCACATAGGGCATTGGGGCACTGGGGGGATAAAAAAATTAATCATTAGTCAATTCTATATGTTGAAAGTATTTAAGATCAGCACACAGCTACTGAAAATTATAGAAGGAAATTAAAGCTGTTAGAGGCCAGCGTAATGCTGTGTTGGTGGCAAATAATGATAGAGCATTGATTCACGCTGTAATTCCTTATTTAGTGAGGTGCTGATACTGGTCATGTTATTATGAACTAGCAGCAAGGGAAAGATAAAGGCTTCCTTTCAAGGAAGGGAAGGAAAAACAATCAGGGGTCAGGGGAAAGAAGCAGCTAGACTGATGTAAGCAGGAAAACTGAACAACAATGGGAAAATGCATTTTGAAGAGTAGGTATAATTTATTAATTTCAGAACAAGAAGCTTTCAAAAATTAAAAATGAGTCTCTAAATCTATATGAATTTGTTGTCTTGGAATATCTATACAAAAAAAACTTAACCAATCAAAGATTCTTATACCTAAACTGTAATGTCAACCAAAATACTGTACTGTGTTGCTGTTAATAGGAATAATTGTGAAATAATGCTCCGCTGGCACGCAAATTATAATTGAGATGGCAACCATTAACAAGGCCTGCTTTTACTGAACAAAGATTTTATTAGTTAAGTATGTGATTTCCTATTGCAATTTCTGTGATTGCATTACACAGGGTAAGCTGGTTAAGTGACAGATAATGGCTCCCATCTCACGAAATCAGGCTAATGCAAGTGCTGCTATTGTTTAAGGCACATCTTAGAACAGTAACTGTGCCACAAAAAATTGAACTGCAAAATTGCAACACAAGACTAAGAATTGATTGTTTTAATGTACATTTTTCAGATATAATTCCCATCACAATGCTGTTTACTAGATGACAAACTCACTTTGTCATCCAGTTTCATATGTTATAATAGTTTTTTTTCCATGAATAACTGTCCAGCATCAGAAACAATAATCATTTGACCAAGTGAAAGGACAGACATTTCAAGCACAAAAAGGTGTATGCAATGTTTTAATAAGAAGGTGATGTTGCAATTACTTCTCTAACTGAGTATAAATGGACCTTATCAAATGACAACATTCTTTTCAGTACCACATCTTCAATTAAAAATGTTCCATAGAAGCTAAACTGGATTTTTATGAATGATTCCACTGTTTCTTCCCTGCACTGTACACCCACGTTTGGAAGTGCATATGATGCAGTCTCCAGCCAATAACTGTTAAATCTCAATATTTGAATAGTCAGCAGTCGCTTCATTTGGGTAAATAGTAAAATAATCCCTGCCAGAAATATAATCCCCAAACACTGCACTGTGCCTCAACGTTTTGAAGATTAACATATCCTTCTCAATGTACTCTGCAATTTAAATACAATAACTTCAGGTATGTATTTATATATGCAGTTTAATAGTTTTAGGTTCTGACTTTGGGGATACCACCCTTCATGAAATATTTGTTCGATCGAAATGCTTACTATAAATACATTTACAATGCAATTAAGAAGCCCAACTGTTTATTTAAATATGCAATACTTGTTCAAAATAAATAACTTAGTTCAGCTAACATTTGTGTATTGCATATTCTAAATTTAAAATCCGTTCCATAAATTACTCGATAAACCATATTACCACACGACTATACCTTGTTGGTGCGTTATATTCAGTTTGGGTCTATTAACCCAAAATAAATTGAATTAAATCTAATTTCTGTCAGCATTTGCACAGCATTCCCTCTCCTACCACCCTCCACTGTATTAGGTAAGTTAATACCCAATTACATTCTGACGTATTTGCTGCACGACACATAGCAAAACTAACTATCCAATTCAAATCACTAAGATCTGCAGTTAAAAGCAGATAGCAAAAGTGTCACTTTGACTGCACTCGAGGTGATAAACACACACTGTTTACATAAACCATTTACATTTTGCACAGGGATAAATTCAGTGTAAAATCTAGCTTCAAAATGCATTTAAAATAGATTACCAAATTAGCACACAACATTTTTGGTGTGAACATATAATTCTAATATCATCTGCAGGGTAGCAGATTTCTAAACACTGATGAATCTTCACAGATAAATTCTGATTATTAGTATGTCTAGAATTTTTTAAATTTGTATTTAGCATCTCAAGCATTCCTTCACGGATATCCTAATTCACAATTCCAACATCATAAGATTAACATAGCTTCGATTTGAGGACTGGTAGCCAGCCCATCATTGAGAACATTTTGAGAGCAGTCACAAATATTTTACCTAAAATAAGATGAATTGGGAATTCTGCAATTTCTGTATTGAGATCACAAAGTATTTGCACTTCAAAAGAAGTTATCTCAAATTTCCCTCATTTTATTTACTTTAGTTGTAAATAAATAGCTCTTATGAGTATCAGTAGCTCTCCTAATAAAATAAGGCATATGTCAAATAAAATACACAACCAAAATCTTAGGTAAACAACTTCCTCCCTTCATTCCTCCTCCAACCACTAAAAATCTAATATGTCTGAAAATTCTCGCTTGGTAGAACCTTTACTCGTGCCTAAAAAGAGCAAACTATTTACCCACCCTGTTAAAGCTCTTACTGTTGCACTGAATTTTATTGGTTTTGAACCAGTGTTTCTGGGGTTAATTCTTATATTAAAAAAACTTAAATTCATTTATATTTCATGTAAACATGATCCAATGAATTGTATTTAAAGATCAATAATAGCCTTTGAACAGATAACAACTCATTTCAAAACAGAAATATTATTATTCAGGAGTGATTGATGAAGAAAGTTGGCTCGAACCAATGGAGGGATTGAAAAGAGGGAAGAATGGTGCATTCCAATCGCTCTTTTGAGTGGACAGCAGCTTTCAAATCTGGTTTGTGCATTTTATTGGCATTCCTGGAATTTTTCAAGAATACACAACAGTTAAGTAAGATTTCACACACGCAAACGATTCTCAAGCTATAGATGCACCATCAGGATTGATAAATGTCCCTGGAGCAAATGAATAATTATTTCAGCTAATTTGCAAATGTAGATTTTCATAGAACTTATATTCAGATCTGAAGACTTATATAAAGTACTTCACTTTTCTCCAATTAAAGCAACCAATTGATCCAGTGAATTCAGAACTCTGCCAAATGATCCCATATTGGTCAGTTGTCACATCAAGAACCACTTTCATCTCATTGTGTAAATGACAATAAAATATTCAGCTGATACTGTACAAATATCAATGAATGAATTTACATTAGGCTTTCAAATTAAGATAAAAGTTTTCTTAGGTGAATTGTTCATACCACAATTCCTTCCTCTTATTAAAGAAAATGGGAATAAAACATTGGCAGAACCTCAAAACATTGCAAATGGTCATCCAGAATAACTGAGTGCTCAAAGGAGCCCTGATGCTGACCCTCAGAATCACAAGGTGATTATAGCTCATGTTAAGATACCGACATCAGGTTTTGTACAGACTTTTAAAGGAGTCTTGGTAAATTTTGCAAGATCTCCAAGGTAGAGTATGAAAATTAGTGGCCTTACCAGCAATAGTCCAGCAGGTGGGGAGGGAGCACTGGGATGTAAATATGCTGCCAAAACATCGGATAAAGCATGGCAGCTGAGGCATGAACACAAGCAGTTAACTGGAAGACAGAAAGCATAACATTAATATATTTTCCAAAATCAATTGATTAAGCCACAGTAAAATGATAAAAACTATTAATCACATTTAAATCTATATATTAAACACCTAGACTGTAAACCACAGAAAAGGTCACAACAATGCTACAATTTGCTCATCTTCAGGATTAAAATAACATGATTAAATATGGAAAAGAACAGGGTCTGAAGGCTCCTGAGGGATATCATTAGGGCAAATTGCCAAGAATGAAACATGAGCCAGCCAGGAGAGTCTCGAGGCTGAAAAAACACTGAGGGATTGAAATGTTCGACAGTTGGAGCTATGGTGATGTGTGAACTGCAGCTTTAGGTATCAGGAGAATTTGTTCACTGACACATGGAATGTCACTATTGACCAGCAACTGCCCGAGCTAAACAGCTGTACAGTTGAAAGTATAAATATACTCTGGCTTTTCATCTACAGCCAATGCTCTACAGCCAACTTTTATTTGCTATTAAGTTGCAATAGAGAATATTACACAAAAACAAACCAATGATTGATTATTTGCAACACACGAACAAAATGGAAATATAGGGAAAAAACCATCCTCCTGCTGAAATAAAAACAAAATAATTTTCAAAGATACCAGACAACATATGCACACCTTACCAAACATTTTCTGTATCCAGAGATTCTAAACATTTTCCATTGATGTTTTATTATTACACCCAGCATGTAGAATTGTGCAAACCCAAAATCCACATTGCTGTACCTTATTCTTAATTTTTTGAAAAGTTGAAGCTTATTGACTTCTGACTGATGGAAAATTAAACCAGAAGGAAGCAATGCATTCCCAAAATCATGGCTCTCTATTATTCATCATCAATTTAGCCTTTACTATTGTATCAGATCTAACCGTTTACTGACTACTGTCCTTCATCCACTTCCAAATTTCTGATCCATTCTGGTAGACTGCAGAACACTAAATCTAATATAGCATCTGCTCCTTCTTGTGTTACTGGTGTCAAGCAACAGTCATGATTACCTTCATAACAGTACTTGTACAGAATCAACCTTCCCTTTTGATTTGCACATGGTTTGAACAAGTTACTTCTAGAAAATTTAAATACTATTCAATGAGCACAATTTCCTGTAACCTTGCGTACTGGTTTAAACAACTCTGACTCTTTATACCTGTTCATTTTTATCTGGGTGCTGGTATCAATTGCCAAGTTACACTTTTGATATTGTCATTTACCGTTTACGTATTAGATCCTCCCTGACTAATAATGACACTCAGCTTTGCAAAACATTTTATTCCTGCTTAGTACCAACAAACCATCTTCGACTGTCCTATATTAATAAAAGAATTGTAGCATCTCCTTCAATTTCTTTAGATCATGGTCATAATCAATTAATCAATACAGCAGCAAGAATATCTCAGGCTAACTAAATTAGTGAGTTATTTTTAAGAATATTATATTAACCCATAACCTGTCAGATATTCCAACAAGTCATTTTAATGATGAAATAAAGGCATTCCTCAATAAGGATATATATCTACTATTTTTGCATAACCAGCACAAAAAGTTATGTCTGGATAATAAACTAAAAAAAATCTATCAATTACTCTCCTCAAAATACACAAACTTTAAAACTGCACATGTTTTTTTCAACGTCTATATAATATAAATTATATACGTCATACTCTCAAAAACTTGAATTCTTGTAAGTATTATAGGAATAAATAGCTTAATGATTAAAATGTTCTACAGCTGTAATTCAAGCCAAAAACAGTATTGACTTGACTGTTTTCGAATTTTAATATACTTGCGGATAAAGCTATTAAAATATAGGAATGATTTGGCCATTTTGGTGAGCTCTGCAGCAGGCAATAAGGTTCCTTCAGTGGGTGACTGCTCTCTAAAGCCTTTATTAAGCAACAATTAAAACTTATTTTTGGAACTTCACGATTATTCTTCAACCAACCAAACTTATTTTAATGCAAGACAGCAAACTACACAAATAGATCTTTTGTGGTTCCAGAATTATAAAACTCTCCCAAGTATACCAAAATAACTGAGTATTATGTAACATTAAGCTGAAAGGTAACCATTTTATCATACACAAGAGCTTAGTTCTATAGGCCCTCAAGTAATATTTTTAACTCCAAAATCCATAAAACGTTAGTCAATATGTAGTTTAAAGCAGTGTTTTGTTACAACTGCTAGAGACTCAACCAAATGAATTTGAGAGATAAAGGGTTTTAGTCATTGTGGACTCATTCAGATGACTATAGCCTTCTGTTCTATTATCCTCTGATACCACTTAGTGAGAACTACAACTTCCTTCAGCAAGCCTGCAGGCAATGGAGAAAATGACACCTATGGGATAAAATTCTGAACCTAACTTGCTGAAATAGCTCAGTGTTGTATGCTAGTTTATTTCACATCCTCCTTTGCCAGTACCAACAGAGGACAACTCAATAAAAGCCCATGTGCTAAGCAGACAGAGAACTCATTATGAATATGACAAAGTATGCAACTGAAAAGCCCATTTGTTCCACACACAATGGAAAACCTACCCTTTGATGGACTCTACTTTATCTGCTCAACTCCTGGGGGAATGTTGTTCGTATATTAGAAAGTTCACATCAGGACTTTGAGCTCATATATGAGGCTAACACTCCATTGAAGTGCTAGGGGAGCTTTGACTACTTTTTTTGGAGTGTTTTCTGCATATTTAATGGTCTCAGAATGGAGATCCTTCTAACCTTTAGTCTACACCTTTGAGGTGTATTAAGTTATTTTACACGAATCTAGTTCTATGCCTCTGCTCCAAATCAAGTGTGATTGTTCCCCAATATATAAAAAATACAGCCTTGCTGGCATTTCTTCCTTACTGCTTTAAATCTGGAAATCATATTAAGAACATAAGAAATAGGAGCAGGAGTAGGCCATCCAGCCCCTCGAGCCTGCCCCGCCATTTAATAAGATCATGGCTGATCTTCTAACCTAATTCCATTTACCTGCCCTATCCCCATGTCCCTTAATTCCTTAGTTTTTAAAAATCTTTAAAAATATTCATCACTCCTCAATATCCATTTGAAGGTAAAGCTATAAAAACAGCACACAGGAATCCAAAATGTGGCCTCACCACTAATCTACAGTATGGATAACATGAGAATAAATTGAAGGTTATAATAACTTCTTTAAGAATCTAATGGCATTGAGGCAACATAGTTTCATGGTTTCTAGAAACGTTCAGTAAAAGTTTCAGTGACTAGAAACTTTCAGTAACTGCTCAATCACACTCCCAAATCCCTTTCTTTCTCCACCTCTGTCAACTGACACCCTTTAATCATGCTCACAATTTTTCCAGTTTCCTTTAATGTTATGAATCACTATATCCCTGAATGCATATTCATGTTCTGAGCTTTTGTGGCTGTCTTGGGTAACCTTGGAGCACCAATGTACAGTGACTGCTGGATCAGAAGACGCCTTCCATGACCATACTTATACCTTAAAGGATAGAGTTGGTCTGAGAAATTCATACGTTAGCAGCTTAAAAACATCTTTTAAATTAGATTTTTTGCTATATGCAATATGCTTCAACCACTTGCCAAAAGTTCTGCCTCAATTTAATTACATTTATCCCAAATGCAATGTATGCAGTCACTAAGCTCCAGGCAATATAAAACCAAATACTTCACAATTTGCATTATGATTCTTTACTATCGCTGCTTCTCCCAAACTATAAAAATGAGCACAATACCAATTTAAGTCATTTCATTAAAGATACAGTATTTTCTCAGTCCAAATGATTATCTAGCTCAAGTCCAAGACAATCACTAAATCAGAATTTATAATGCTAGAATTGTGTTATCCAGTACAGGACCTACAGATCAATATCACTTGGTTTACTTCTTAAATGAATTACCCAATTGTACCATCTGCATTGAGATTATACCCAAGAACTAGGGTTACTCTAACTTTTGCATATAATAGTGAACAGAAACATACTACAGACTTATTTAAATAGATCTTTATTAAAGACATCATATCCACAGCACACTATTCAAATCCAGTCAGATTATATCCATTCTGTTTTTATGGCTTTCTTTAATAAATATAGAAACAATGGTTGTAAACTACTGGCTCTTTGATTTGCAGAAATATAGTTGAAGAATTCCCCTTCAACGCTATATACTGCTTCTATTTTTAAAATTCTTTTAATACCTTAAAAATTACTAGATTGTTTCCTGCTTTTTCACTTTTTCATGTTATCTATCATTGGCCTTTTGTTAGAAAAAAAATTCTGTTCACTTACAGGGAGAATCTGATTAAAAACATTGCTATTTTAAAAATAGCTGCTGGATTGTTATTTACACATCATAAGGATACATATGCCAAAGGACACAGTACCTTCACTTTTGATTGAAATTATAAAACCTACTTTGGAGGGAAATATTTTTGACATGTTAAATATCATTTCGGGCAATAAATACAGGCACTAAATAACTTGCTATGTTAGTAAGAACAGAGTTTATTTCATAAGTGCGAAGGACTAGTAACTCACAAGCTCCGTAGGGACAAGAAAAATAAACTTCCTTCTTCTTCCTGGTGAAGGGAATTATTTTTATTACCTGTTCATGATATTTACAAGTTCTAGGAATAACATGTTTAACAATTACATTGGATAATGCACAACATTGTTCTGAAAAAAATAAGACCATCGTGAGGTACCCAAGAAATGACATATTTCCGCCTTACTTTGTTATTAAAACATTGCTAAAAACAGAACCTACAATTAACACTGCTGTGGCAAATAAATAACATTACTATGGCAATGACTAGATTTTGAAAACTTGTATTGAGAAGCAGCTATTGATAATATTAACTTAACAAAATTTTATTATTTGTGCTTACAATCCAGATACCTTTTATCATAATAACCTAAGAGGCATTGTTTAGTTGCAGTTATTCTCCTTTAGTCCCACTAGAAATCATTAGAACACAATGC